AAGCGGTGTAGACCGATTACCTCATTCAGGGAACAACGATTAGCACACAAAACACGAACCTCGCCATTACTCACCAATGTCCCCACCACACAAAAGTGGTTATTCGGAAACATCGTTGGTCGAATATGGGGAGCCGATTAGCATCCTTAACGCAGAGGGACCAGGTCTCACAACCATGAAGCCAAACATCAAAAACCGAGGTGATATGAACCGTTCCCTTAAGGGACAGTCGGATGTCACGGTGGCGCCACAGGTGTAGCAGGCATCCCAGAGGACCAGGAGGATTAGACCCGGAAGTTGGACCAACTGATCATCTGCTCGGTGCAACAGCACAATTATAGAGAACCTCTACGAATGTTGTCATCCCCGGTGAACTATGAACGAATAGGCAGATTGACAGCAGACCCCCTGTTGACAACAATCTGCTGTCTTTAATTATACTAATCCGAGGAATAGTAACGCGATGAGCACTGACAAATAGCAGAAATTATCATTATCACCACATTTACTTCATGAATATGTGGGAACAATCATTCTCATTTTAATGACCTTGTGATAAACCACAAGTGAACCCAGGTATGAGATAGGAATAGGGGAAAAACGTATTCGCTCCTTCGGTGCTATAAGACCGTAACTTCCCTGACAGGTCAATATTCGTTGTTCGTTCTCATTACAATGAGATAAATATTTGGTAAACGAGAAACTGATCATGGTTGTATTCTGTTTTGTTGGACAAGAAGTTCGAAAATATTTTACGTTTCCGGTAGTGCATTCATGCAGCCTATGACTCTTCAATGGACATTGCTGCAGTCATCTCAATGGAAGTAAATCGCTGAAATAATAAACTAAAGTTGTTCAAAGAACTGGGGTATGCTAACCAAATGCGCCGTGTAGTAGCTTGACCTCCATTTAATAACAATAAGAGCCGAAGTCCGGTCCGAGTTTACGGCACCTTTTCACCCGAGTTAACTACAGAAAGTGGTGTTCGACAGGGTCGCCCTCTTTCTGTTTTTATTCAACTTTATCAGAGATTTATTTCTTGAAACAGCCCCACCCTCGTGCGAGGATAGCGGTATCGATAAGCTCCCATGGGGCAGACTGTCTGATATAGAATATACAGACGACATTGCGCTTTTCTGGTTAGTTTGAGTGCTAGTGTATCCATGTTCGGTATGCGTTTTGCACCTTCAAAGTGTAAAATGTTGCTCCAAGATTGGGTTGGTACAGCACCCAACCTCACCTTGACTGGGGAAGTAGACAAATTTTTCTGTCTGGGCAGCCATATCTCACCTGGCGGACGCATCACAGATGTCAGAGCGCATACAGAAGGCTTAGTTGGCATTTGCCAACTTGAGAGATCTATGACGCCGCCGCGAAACTCGGCTGTCTGTGAAGGGTTGAGTATATGCCGATGGCTAGAGACTGAGCGATATGGCCGGGTGTCGCAAACAGTGACGCTCATGCATCTACTCATTATTCTGGTAACTTCAGTCTATATAAGTTCGTTATCTTCCGCTTGAATCTACTTTCGACATTATAATCTTCATTCTGCTGTTTTATCCAAATGGGCAACCAAAACCGGCGCACGAAAGTGCATGGTTAATGGTTGTTATAACAGAACAGAACAAAACCATTTAATAATTACAGGTACTGGCTTTAATGGCAACGACTTATTTTATTCATCCAAGGCATTCTATGCAATCAGATTCGCAATCTCCGTGAATTTCCCGACGCTTCTAGTAGTCTAATCATGCCACGATGATTGATAGTACACAAATTATATTTGATCAAACATTATCGATCGAGAAGTAAAGGTTCCGAGGTTCCCCAGGCGGTGGAGGATAGTACCGATTAGTAAGTAATCGAGACTGACGTAACACTGATAGAATGGGAAAGAGATAGCGCCAATTGAGAAATAGTGAAGATTGATAGGGGGACGGAAACGGAGCAAGTGAGTGTGTAAGAGACTGAGCCATGGGAAAAAGACTGAAAAGAGTAGATAGAAAAAAAAGAAAATCACACAGAGAAGACAACGATGAGGATAACATGGTGTAGAAAGTAGCCAGTTGATCTGCATCCCGATTTAATGCAACTCGGGATGTAGGAATGTGCAAATATGGCATACAGGATTGAATTATTGCCCCGAAACCAATGGAACGAACATACTGAACCGGATGCGTTTATCCAGTAAACGAAATTATTTCGCAGGGGTGGGACAGGGAGACTGATTATGTGCGAATAAGTGGAGAGTTAGTAGGGATTGTATTATGCTTGAAGACACCATCACAAACCGGACTGACTGCAAGTTGACGATGACAGTACAGGCCAAAAGCGCGAGTGACGATACGGTTGGCCAGCGAATGCCGTGTGGCCAATAGCACCGCATAAACATGCACACGCGCTGGAGGATAACTGGCAATTGCGAACGGAATTGCAGGAAGGTGATTAGACTAACTGGCAAATCAGGATGGTAAGTGGAGGTGTGGGTAAGAGGAGCTTTTCCAGTCGAACAAGAAGAGACTATCAACCGCGGTGATGCGCCAACCTGAGATGATCTCATGCATGCTTACAGGTCCTCCAGATTACGGAACCCAGATGTGATTTCCTCATACAGCTCCTCGTAATCTCGCAAAATTTTGTCCTAGAATAAGGGTAGGAGAGAAAGATGTAGGTGAACTCATCATGAACAAGCATCAAAAACGGGTGTAAATGTAATTCTATAACCATTTAAAAATTTACATTAGGACTTTTATCACATTAGTGCAGCCAAGTAAAGTTAAAATATGAAGTTCGGTTCATCTGGGCAAATACCTAATTTGACATAAAGACAATGAGAAGAGCCGCATGTGTTCTGAGTTAAATAAGAAACCTTGTTTCAGAGAATCACTACTGCCCCGATATACGACAAAAGAACTGATTGACTATCTCTGAAGACTACACCTGAACAAAAATGAATTGGCAATTTGGTTCATCCTTGGTACGAGCTGGTTGACATATTGGGAACTGACGTGCCTCCCATGCGATGGGTTTGGGGTTCAAATCCCGGACGGAGTATTGTATATGCACTGCTGATAAGCTCTAATAAGAACGAAACTCGAGTATAGTGCTTCCTAGTAGATGGTTGGTTGGAAGAGCTGAAGATTATGCATGAAGGGGAAGTCCGAAGGATGGTCGATTCCAACAAATCAATAAAATAAATTTCTCGAACAGAACATTCAATCGAAGGTTACCAGCCAAAAAGCAAAAGTAAGTCAAACTCAGACCTGGCACGACCGCATAAAAACTTTGACCAAGATACTCGCTAACATAGGTCACGTTAGGCCTCCTGGATGGGGACTTCAGAACAAGCGCAATCAATGGTTAGTGAGACTGAGTTATATGGCTGAGCGCCGTAAACAGTGGTGCTCGCGTATCTACTTATTATTCTTGCATCCGTGAATGCTCTTACTCCCCTCTGACACTGATTTGAACATTCCAAACTTCTCTTCATCCTTTTATCTAAATAGGAAGCCATGAGGCAGCAACCAAAACCGGCGCACGAAAGTGCATGGTTAATAAATGGTTACGAAAACAGAACTGAACGGCCAACCCAAGCCCCAGAGTCAAAGCTGCCGGTTTCCCCAAAACAGCTCATCAAGCATTTGCACACCACAGTGTTTATTTTTACAAGCTCACATTCACGCAGGCTCTGATGACTTTCATCACATTCACGATCTTAATCTAGAAATTGACTCTCAGCATTAATAACTTGAATCTACCTCCCACTCATTAATTTCCTTCCCGAAAATTAAATGTTCTTCGGAAAATTCAAACCATCTTCTGCGCCCTGAATGCAGATGCTAACCATCCTCTCCCATTTTCAAACCAACAGTTCTGATTGTTCGGTGCTCCATCTTCTTCCACTGTTTGTTCAAAATATTTTGCTCTCAGATTGCAACGTCCAGATAAACATATAGGTAAGTTCACTGATCGGTTAGCACCCTGCGCAGGAAGCATAAATATAGGCCGTGAGGCGAAAGCGTTTTGCTATCGTAGACAGCCTAACACAATTGGTCACCTTACTCAGGAGTATGTCCAATCGCACGGAACAGCGAACCCACACCATCATATACCATCATATAATGCGAAATGTTGATTGCGTACAACAAATACACCTTTATGAAAAAAGCATCATTACTCAAGATAACTAGACAGGACTAACTCAAAAAAACGAAACACTCACTTTGCCATCAGCTTTGGGGTCTTTGAATTTCATGCTGGATATCTTGTAAATGGTTGGTCCCATTGCCTCACGAATCAAAGCCCACGTAACACGGTGATCCGATTGGGCAGTCACCTCAACCGCATGACGCGCCTGATCGTAGAATCCAATAATATTGCGCATCATTCCAACAGTTTTGTAGAACGGACAGAAACTGGATGAGGGACAAAGATAATGCATGAACGTATTGAACAACGGAATGGTAACTGGACAATGCGAGTGGTAGCTCAATTAGAGCCCCTCCGGGTTCAAAGTCAAGTAGAAGATTAACCAACAACACCAAAAACCTTATCGCATGCTGTGTTCAGCTGTTTAATATAAACGTGCCGTCGGCAGAAAAAATATTATTCAAGAAGCAATGATTGAAGACGCCGTTTTTAAAAGCCCGCTCATATTAAAATGCATTTAGTTTCATCCACAGACGGAAAACTCACTGGCAAAGCAACCCAGAGTAATAGCATCAAGTCAAAAACTTGGCAGACAGATAAGGCACACATTTTTGTACCGTATCACATCGTACTATATCGCGAAATCTGTCCAAGCATGACAGCTAATAGTTCATATACGGGCCGCTAGTAACAATTAGCTGTATGAAGCCTACAGCAGCGACATCAAAGAATTGGGGGACACCAGAAGCAGTATGCAAGCAAATTTATCAGTACCAAGTCCGAAACTCCGTTTATCCTATACAAACCTAATGGAGCAAATTGTTGGTAGTTTCAGTGATCGCGTTGCCAGAGCCACTGAATGGATCAGGCTACCGACCATAAAGTGGTGTACGTGATCAAATACTATTGAAAGTTTGTCAGTAAAGCTGAAGGTCAATGACCACCTGGACGCATCAAACGAACCCGAAAACTTACCGATCGTAGTTGGAGTAACCATTTTGCTGCAGAAAATCGTCTTTGATTATTCTGGCAACTTCCAAAGTAATTTTATCCGATTCAGCCAAAGAAGCCTGTCAGAAAGTAGATGTTGAAAACGGGGGTGATTCGAGTTGTATCGCTTTTTAATTTAAACGAACATGATCTCAACATTATTACTTCGTTATCCAAATGGTATAGACTGGTGTGATACAGGGGGGATCCGTAACCACTCAGTAATCTTTCAAGAGCACAAACTAATGACAATCCGATTGGTAGCGCATGAAAAGAGCAGAGACACTAAAACACTTAGTGCACTTAGTGTGTGTGGAAAATGGCAACCTAAGTCCTGGGAGTGACCAACCACATAAGGCCTCACTGGGTTGGGGTGGTACTGAGCCGGACGATGGTGAAACTATCTACTGCGTAATTTGAGTGGCGGTGGTGGGATGCTAATCGGAGACAGCGACTTAAACCGCTTAACCACCACCAGCCCATATAGCCCAAACGTTTCTCGGTCGTGAATAGCATCAAGTTGTGTGGATAATTAAAAGAAAACAACGGTTGGAAGACAAACCATCCTTGGTGGGCTTTTTGTGAGTATCTAACCTCATTTATCTAAACTATAGGCACCAGAGTCAATTCGATCGACAACATTTCGAACGCTACTGCTCAAGAAAGTAAAAGAGAGCCATGCATGATTTGCCCCGAGATTTAGGGAGAAAACGTACTTTTCCAACCAATTGGACGATCTCGGATAGCTCTTCCTCTTCTTGTAAAATCTCGTTCATCTTGGTACGAAGAGCTACAAATTCCGGGAAATTTCGATCATAGTAGTCATCCAGAGCGCGTAGATATTTGGAGTAGGATATAAGCCAATTCACACTGGGGAAGTGTTTGCGTTGGGCAAGTTTTTTGTCCAAACCCCAGAAAACCTGACCAGGAAAGAACGGAACAGTTGATGAAAAAACGCAATGATTGGCGCGCACAGAAGGAAAACAGTTAAGCTTATTACTAAGGTATGGACAATTTAGTATCGTGAATAACAGCTGACGAGGAACTTCGAACAATTTGGTCTCTCCATCGAGTTGCAAAATACCCGCCAATAATTTTCAAATGTCAATGATCGTGAATGAAGTAAACATTAAAAATGAGAAGTTTGTTTTAGACACTGCACAAAGTATGCTTCTGGTAAGCAATCTTCATGACAAGTAATCCTGTGGACCCACCGGCACATTCAAATGAAGTTGGAGCGGAGAACATAAACTAAAAGGAGTAGATGAATAGCATACGCATGAATCCACCCGCCCACACGAAAGATACGTACCTGCACAATGCTTAACGTAGCCGAGGTAACGGGATCGGCAAAATCACCACCAGGTGGTGAGACAGCGCCCACAATACCGACTGAACCATATCGAGGTTCCGGTCCACCCAGACAGTGAACACGACCGGCACGCTCGTAAAAACTATATGCACAGAGGTAAGATTTATTCAGTGAAGAAGCATTATCAAAGGATATATGAAAAGTAGAATGAAATCGATGGATAGTTTACCAAGTCGAAATGGGTAATACGGGTATACATACATAGGCGGTAAGGAAAAAAATAGTGTCAGTTTCATTTCTCCTTTTTAATCGTCAGTAAATTCGCATCGACAACTTAATAGAGTACGCCGACGGTGGGGTGTGAACGATGCTCGAAACTCCCAGCTGTGCATAACAACATTGTTCATTTTCTGTTTTTTTTTCAAGAACTCTATTAAGAATCTCATCCTGGCATAGCTAACGATAAAACGTTAAGGGTTACATGCCTTTGGGCAAACAGATTAGGGATAAGTATAGACACGGGGAAGTGACGTGCTTGATTTTCAGCCATTTGAGATACATGAACTACCGTCGCAAAATTGGCGTATATATCAAGAGACAGCAATGTGCCGCACCACTGTCCATTGAGCGATGCAGACGGGTATCCCATCAGCAAAGTGAACTACGCGGTGTCAGATCTCCATGTTTGAGCCCCCGGAAATCCGCTGATTCATCGCTATAGGCAGTAAGCGAAACGATCGTGTCGTACATGTTAGCATTCGTCAGTGAACTAACTTGCATTTTTCGTATAACTCCAGCGTCCTCATACCACTGAAACCGAATTTCATTGATTTTGTTTTTCATATTGACTGCCAACGACAACAACCAAAACTAGAGGTTTATGGTAAGTATTTTGCATTGCACCTCACGAAATGCCTCTTTTGAGGCTGTCTTCTCGTGGCGGAGGTGTTTCCCCACCAAAGGGACTTCGAAAAGCTCAAATACAAGGCCATAATCTAGCCAATGAACCACTGATATTTTGTCCAGAGTAGCAGGCTAAAAGCCCTGGTTCCAAACCAACCGGGAAAAAGCGTACGAACCAAACACACCTTGACTAGGACAGTGGTAACCGGTATATTGGGTACTCTGGATTTTTGGCACCGTTCAAACAGCGTGTGANGCCCCAATAGACTACGGGTTTCGCACACTGCCCCGCTACCTTGTGGGTTAGGTATTTTGTGAATCCTGGGCACACCGGCAGGAGCCCGCCCACGAGCAAATCATACACCTTCTGCATTTGTATAAATATTGGTGTACCGGGATTTGTTTGTCACAGTCTGGAATCAAATGACACCCTCGGGTTAAGCAGAGCTGAGTGCTACCAGACGCGTCCACGGTTTGCAGATAGAGGGATACCTTCAGCAGTATCACTTTGCACTTTGAAGGTGCAAAGCACATACCGAATGTACCAACAGCACTTGTTAGTCGATCAGATGTGCTTCGCGCGTTCTCCATGCAATCGGACACAGACGACGTCATCGGCGTACTCTAAATCGCACAGTTTTTCTTCAGCTGCCCATTCAATGCCTACATTTTGGCGACCACTAAGTCCTCCAGTATTTTGTCTACGACAAAATTAAACAGGAACGGCAAGAGAGAGCACCCTTGACGAACGCCGCTGCTGGTGACGAATGGCCTACTTGGTTCATCATAGACTCTTACATGACCAGAGGTATGCGGGTACGGTGACCTCAGTAGGCTAACGTACTTCTGGGGTATTCCTTTTTGAAGAAGGGAGCCCATTAGAGCTTCGCAATCAACTGAGTTGAAGGATCCTTCCAGGTCAAGGAAAATTGCGATCGTTGGTCGGCGGTGGGTGTGATGCAAGGACCTGGCTCAACGTAAAAATTTGATCAATACATCCATGGCCAGGCCAGAATCCGGCTTGCTGTTCACGGATGTTGATCTCTC